CCATTGCACTCCAGCCTGGGTAACAAGAGCGAAACTCCGTCTCGGGGAAAAAAAAAAAAAAAAAAAAAAAAAAAAAAGCAAAAAATTAGCTGGACGTGGTGGCACATGCCTGTAGTTTCATCTGCTCGGGAGGCTGAGGCAGGAGAATTGCTTGAACCCGGGAGATGGTGGTTGTAGTGAACTGAGACTGCACCACTGCACTCTAGCCTGGGCGACAGAGCAAGACTCTGTCTCAAAAAAAATGTATTTTTTTGTGGTGCTGCTCCTTGCAGAGCAGGGCTACCCTATAGGCAAATGTGCCCAGGGTAGCCTTGACATGTATTTTAGCAAGACTTGAGACTGGGTTGTTTTCACTTTGGGGTTTGACTTCACTGGTTCTGCTGTTCTGGAATTATTTTAGTAATAGTGATTTCCTTGCTTATTTTCATAATTTAGAAGCTAGATCTTTAATATTTTTGAAATCTTGGCATCCAGGAGATATGCTGAAATTGGGTATCCCTGTTTTATAGGAGACTGTTGATTTCTGAGGGATATGGTTCCCTTTTTAAGAGGAAATCTCTTATCTGTGCTGATACAGGTTTATTTCGGGTTGTATAGGCATCTGAAAGTAATATGTAGTTGAGAAAGAGGATATGAGAATATAAGACTTCTTTTCATCTTAGGATTGTCAGCAGCGTTCCTGGCATTTTCTTTTCATATTTTTTCTTCTCCCTTATCTTTGCAATAGCATAACATGGTTGTAATGAGCTTGAGTGAATATGTGTGTGGGGAGTGTGGTGGTTTGTATGTGTGGGACTTTTGAGTAGTGGTTTACTGGGAAAAATGGGGTATAAAGCAAAGAGAATGACAGTAAAGCCATTCCTTTAATTGTTAAATTATGTAATGTACACATTAAAATATTTATTATAGAAAGTTTATATAGGTGGCCGGGCGCGGTGGCTCACGCCTGTAATCCCAGCACTTTGGGAGGCCGAGGCGGGTGGATCACAAGGTCAACAGATCGAGACCATCCTGGTCAACACGGTGAAACTCCGTCTCTACTAAAACTACAAAAAATTAGCTGGACATGGTGGCGCGTGCCTATAATCCCAGCTACTCAGGAGGCTGAGGCAAGAGAATTGCCTGAACCCAGGAGGCGGAGGTTGCGGTGAGCCGAGATCGCGCCATTGCACTCCAGCCTGGGTAACAAGAGCGAAACTCCGTCAAAAAAAAAAAAAAGAAAGTTTATATAGGTAAGGAAAAATATAAATTTAAGGTTACAAAATAAGCCTATTCCTACTATCAAGAAATAGTCATATTTTAACATTTTGGTATATAATCTTTTGTACCTTTTCTACGTGCATAAGTACATGTGAATTTATAGATAAATGTTTTACAGGAAATGGTATTATACCATATGATATAATATATATGGTATAATACCATTATATAATATAATATATATATATAATGGTATTATATGGTATAACAACATATATAATATAATAATTCGACCTTTTTCCACTCAACAATAGGATATATTGATATCCTATTATTAAATATACATAAAAATAATGGTTATATAGTATTCCATTTTATGATGGCACCATGACATATATTATCAGTCCCCTATTGTTCATTTAGATTCTTTCCAATAATGGGATCTATGCAATTATAGTTATATATACACTGCTGTAATAAATATCCTTGTATATACATCTTTGTTCGCTTTACTAATTACTAAGATAACTTAGTAACTTAGTACTTCTTGGTCAGATTGTACATAATGATTTTTCACTTTTTTTTTTTTTTTTTGAGACGGAGCCTTGCTCTGTCACCCAGGCTGGAGTGCAATGGCCCGATCCCTGGCTCACTGCAACCGCCGCCACTCAGGTTCAAGCGATTCTCATGTGTCAGCATCCCTACTAGCTGGGATTACAGGTACAGGAACTCCTGGTCTGGAACTCCTGACCTCAAATGATCCACCTGCCTTGGCTTCCCAAAGTACTGGGATTACAGGCATGAGCACTTGGCAGGTTTTTTGCAAGTTACTTCCAAATTGCCCTCAAGGAGCAGAAGACCTTCAAATGAAATCTACCTTGAGGCAGAGGCTGTTGCCCAGACTGCAACAGAATGGCTTGATCTCAGCTCACTGCAACCTCTGCCTCCTGGGCTCCAGCCATCTTCCCACCTCAGCCTCCTGAGGAGCTGGGACTACAGGTGTGCAACACCACATCTGGCTAAATTTTTGCATTTTTAGTAGAGACGGGGTTTCGCCATGTTGCCCAGGCTGGTCTGGAACTCCTGGCCTCAAGTGATCCACCTGACTTGGCCTCTGAAAGTGCTGGGATTTTTTTTTTTGAGACAGTCTTATTGTGTCACTCACCCTGGAGTGCCGTGGCACAATCTTGGCTCCCTTCAACCTCTGTCTCCCAGGTTCAAGTGATACTCCTGCCTCAGCTTCCTGAGAAGCTGGGGTTACAGATGGCCGCCACCATGCCTGGCTAATTTTTATATATTTAGTAGAGACAGGGTTTCACCATGTTGGCTAGGAGGCTGGTTTCCTGAACTCCTGACCTCAGGTGATCTCACCTCGGCCTCCCAAAGTGCTGGGATTACGGGTGTGAGCCACCACACCCAGCATTCTTTTTTAAAAGATATACCTGAAATGTTTTGCTGTCTGAATTCATTCCAGAGTGAAATGAAGTACAAGTTTTGTGACTGCTCCTAGAATTTTTGTGCCAGAGCTTCTCCTCCTGCCATTTTTTTTTTTTTTTTTTTGAGACGGAGTTTCGCTCTTGTTACCCAGGCTGGAGTGCAATGGCGCGATCTCGGCTCACTGCAACCTCCGCCTCCTGGGTTCAGGCAATTCTCCTGCCTCAGCCTCCTGAGTAGCTGGGATTACAGGCACGTGCCACCATGCCCAGCTAATTTTTTGTAGTTTTAGTAGAGACGGGGTTTCACCGTGTTGACCAGGATGGTCTCGATCTCTTGACCTCGTGATCCACCCACCTCGGCCTCCCAAAGTGCTGGGATTACAGGCGTGAGCCACCGCGCCCGGCCTCTTCTGCCATTTTTTGAACATTTACCTAGAATTACAAAAAAATCATTTGACAGTATGGTACTAGGAGTCTGATTAGGTCCAGTTCATAATTTTAGAGTTTTAAAAACACGTATGCTTATTCTGCTGTAAGCAAATGGAACCTCAGGAGTAAGTGGTAACTTTCTGTTTTTCCTCATTAGGTTTCAACTTTCTGTGCTGTGGGGTCAGCTGTAAGAGAGGTAGATCTGATGTGTATCTGTGCTAAGAAGCATGAGCTACTCACAGTAACTAGCAGCCAACTCCTCTTTCCCCGTAACAATTGCAGACTTCTTGTGTGGTAGT